ATGTTTTAATTAATCAAAAGATCAATTTCATTTTATATTTTTTTTTTTAGAAAGACTACAGATTTATCATCAAGTATTCACACTATACCACCTCGTAAGATTCATTCTTTCTTTCCATTTATTATATTAATATATCTCTTTAGTTCATGGTAAATACTGGCTAACACACATATGTAGTGGTTTGGAATTTTATGGTTTTCTTGCATCTCGTGAACGTGAATTCGAAACTGTATGCAAAGATCTTCACTCTTATTATGATAATTATGTTCATGCTCAATCATTAAGTGTAAATGCTATTTCCGAAGGTATGATGTGTATTATTCGACAATATGATCATTATTATCGTGTTATAATAAAGTAAATTTGAAAGAAAATATTCTAAGAAATCTCTTTCTTTATTATTGTCTTTTTAATTAGACATCATGAAAGTGAATCAAAAGTATTAGTCAAACTTATCGATCGTGGTGATGAAACTGTTGTTCATACATCAGAATTATTACAAATTAATAATAAATTTTCTAAAATACCGGCATTTGTTCAACCATTTCGTTTACAAGGTTATGATGAATCAGTAAGTAAAATTAAAAATAATTATTTTATATATTTATTAAATGAAATTAATTTTTTTTTCTCAAGCAAAATACAACTAGTGTAACTCATACTTTGAAAAAGTTAGCATTTAATCAATGGGTTGACATTACTCTACAAGAACGAATGATTAATGGATTTTATCCTGTTCATATTATGTTGCCTAAAAAAGGATCAATCAATCAAATGATTCTTCAACGATAAAAACTTACTATATAATTTTTTCTTCATTTATATGTTATTAGATAATTTATTGATAAATAAACATATTTTCACACTATTAGATCTTTTTATTTTTTGTTTTTCAATACAAATTCTCTTTTTGATCTTTTTTAAAAGTTATATACGATTGGAATGAATATCAATATTGATATGATGATAAAATGATTTTTATAATGGTATTATATCGATTGATTAAGAGTAAAACAAATGATAATTTGAATTTTTGACACTCAAACCTTTCTTTTGTTTTGCTATGCTTTTATTTAAATCGAATAGTTATGAATCAACAAGATTAAAAAAGCACAAGTGCGTACAATCACTACTAGCAATAAAAAAAAATAAAATTTCACCATTAATTCTATGAGTATTTTGATAAAAATCGAACGTGGATAAAAATGATTATGCCCAAGTTATTCAAACAGCCTTATATCTCAAATGTATTTGTGGAGGATGATCACCGAATATATATGGAAAACAATCTTCTAAACAAGAACTATAATCTCTATTAAAATATCAAAGAAGTTACTCAAGAAATTTTTGAATAAATTAGACTAAACTGGTTCAAACTCATATAGGAACTCAGATCTAACTATTACAGTGTTATTAACTGTTCATTGTCATTTGTTTTATTTCTATTTGTCGAACGATTGATTTTGACTCATATTTATTTATTTTTTTACAACAATTGGAAAATTCTTACAAGTCGGATAAAATAGTGAATACAACAAAAGATTTGCAATATTTAAATAGTCGGTACTGCAAAAGTCAGAACTATAATAATACCATAGAATGGAAGAGTAAGAATTAATATAACATTTTATTCTTTGCTATTTGTTTAACTTTAGAAAATATTTAAATTATTGTTATTTATTGTTGTCTTATTTTGTTTCTCATTTCAGACTCTAAAGTTGCAATATCACTTGGTCCTTTGTCATACTCTCAAGCATGTAATCTATCAATATTTTTATCTTATTGAGCATCTTGTTTCATGACAAAAAAATGATATATTTTCGATTTCAATTTTCTGATGAATTTTTCATTATTTAAAATAAATTTTAAAGACATAAAATATTTAATCTATTGTATTCTAATTAAGAAGGTCATTCAGGTTTATGAAAATTTACTAATTACTCTGTCTTTATTTGACTTATTATATGGTGTAACGAATGGTTCGATGTTGAACAATGTCTTCGACAGATACAATAAATTGAATAGAAATTATTATTTCCATTAACTTTTTATCATATGTAAATCATATGGTCATTTGTCAAAATAACGAAAGAACAACAACAACAAAAAAAAAAAGATAATAGATCGAAAGACGTAGATACTGGCAGGAACGAAGATTTGTCATTCTTCATCTATATCGAATTTATTATCTTTTTCTTTTCTTTTCCTTTCATTACTTTAACAAATGACCATATGGTTAATATATGATAAAAAGTCAATCGAAATAATAATTTTTATTCAATTTACTGTGTCTGTTGAAGATGTTTTTCAATGTTGTAATGCTACAGTACATAATAAATTAAATGAAAGAAGAGAAATTAATAAATTTTCATAAAACATCTGATCAATGAAATAATTTTCACATTTATAATGAAAAGATTTTTTTCTATCTTCATAGTATATATAAATATCAATTTAATTTATAGATTTGGATATGAATTGGTCAATCCTGACTATCATGACGAAAATCAAAAAGTAATTGTAAGATCTCATGAACTTGAATCATTATTTCATGATCCTTCTGTATCTATTAATGCCAATTCATTAAATAGCATTCAAAGCTCTATGATAGGCTTATCTTTAAGTAACGCTTTTGCAGTTTATGCTGAATTTAGTTCTAATCAAGATGTAATTGGATATTCAGTAACTGAACTTCATGTGGAGGGAACATGATGGTTTCAGAAAGAACAGGTAATGCATTTATAAAAAGAGATCAAATGAGAACTTCTTTTAAAAAATATTTAATATAGTTATTATCTAGTTTACTGATGACACTTTAATGACTCTTTGTTTAACTATTTCATTAATTGTTTGCAGCGACTTTTGTCCATATGATTAATTAGTTCGTTATAAATGGTGGTACAAAAATGGCTATATGTCATCAACAGGACAATGTTTTGATATTGGATCATCTACTAGACAATTTTCAAAGAAATTTGAACATCACCAGCATTAACGGGTTCAAAAATATCTAATTCCTTTCGAACAATTCATCGTCGTCATCATTTAACAACCATGTGCCGTCCACTGCTGGATGAAGGTCTCTCCCATGTTTTTCCACATTTCTCTATCTTGTACTCGAGTGCTCCAGTCGTTTCCCAAGAATGAATGAATTTCATCCTTCCATCTTGTCATTTGTCTTTCAGATTTTCTTTTCCGTCTATTATTTGCCATTTTGTGGTAAGTTTGATCCATCTACTGTCTAGCAACATGCCCTGCCCATCTCCATTTGTTTCTTTTTATTGTTCTTGTTATATCGGTAAGCTTTATTTGCTTTCTTATAGTAGCTTGTGTCTATTATACTTTCGAGTATTACATCAAAAACGAATCAAGCATATTGATGCTGATAAATCTATTAGCTCCTTTAATAAATTGACTGTATATGAAGACGAAAAATGATTTAAAAGAGACTCATCGACTTTAAAAATTCATAATTCTATGTCTAAAATGCCGTTTGTTAATATAAATAAAAAAATTTTAAGTGACACACAACACTTACTAGAAATGCTTCATGAATATAGAAGAGTTTAAGCCATAAAAAATATTTGTACAATTTAATATCATTCGCAAGCAAATTAAACGTTATTATCTAGAGTGTAATTCTAAATGTTAGCACGATCTACTAGGAAAAACTTACTTTTTCAATCAAAAGATAAACTTTTCTTTTAGTTAATATAAACATGATCTCAATAAAAGTTTCTATTTGTAGCACAATAATCATTTTTTTTATCAATGGTCAAGTAGAGTATGTCTTCAAAACACGTAATACTATTCATCTTGAATTAATAAACAGGTAGGACAAGTACAATTATCGCAAGTAAAAGTATAACACTTGCACTTAAAAAAATGTACTTGATACTTATATTTGTACTTTAAGAAAAGTACTTGGTACTTGTACTTATATTTCAAGACAAATACTTATTTACTTATACTTGAGTACAAAAACAGTATTTTGTGTTTTTATTTGAGACATATATAAAATAAATCGTTTAAGTAAAGTTGAGTGACTCTAATGAGTTCTTTTTTCTTTTGTTTTTTTGTTTGTTTGTCTATTTAAATAAAAGAAAAAATAAATTTATTTTATTTAATATAAATAAATATCTTATATTAGTATTATGTCTGAAGAAATTCAATCAATATTAAACAACAACATATAATCAAAAAAAAATTTATCAAATGAAACATGATTTATTAATAATTTTCAAAAAACTGAAAATAAAAAAGAAAATTCTCTCTATCCTGATCCAATTCCAAAATGTTATATTGGAGCTGGAAATAATTCTGATTTAATTCAAACTATTTTAACATCAATTGGTTATGAACATCGATTTGAAAAAAAAATAGATAATTTCAAATTAAAATGGATTCAATATATTGAAAATGTTAAAATCTATACATTAAGGATGTACTAATTAATATTCTCTTTTCTTTCTTCTTTCTAATGAGTTGATGACTACTATATGATATGATTTTATCACAAAATAAGCAATTATTCGAATATTTTAACGAAAGTTTTCATTTTAATATGATGATAAGTTCACCGCAGATCACTTGTAAATCATATATTTTCATTGTCTGAACGTCATTGTTTCGTAATTGAAGCTGAAGTGCACGGTACCGATGTTTTTTATACTTAAGTATAAGTACAAAAGTATTTATCTCGAAGATTAAGTATAAATATCAAGTACTTTTCTTAACCCTTTGACTACCGACATAAGAAAAGGAAGAAACGGTTTTTTAGGAAATTTATTCATTTTTTTATGGAGTGGTTCTATAGTGTGCTTTAATAAAATAGTAATTTTGAAAGTGCATGGTGCCTAACGTTTGTTTCTATGCAAATGCTTCTAAAAACTATATAATGTGAATGATTACTTTGGTTCACATAAAGATGAGACTCCTGTCATTTATAAATAGCGGTGGTAGCCAAAGGCTTACAGTGTAAGTACAAGTATAATACTTCTACTTGAAAAAGTACCAAAAGTACCAGTATAAATACAATATATTTATACATATAAATAAAATGGATTGGTTTTTTTAAAAGAACAAATCATTTTTTGTGAATCTTTAGTCCATTTTTCTTCTTTTTTTTCTTCATTTCAACAACCATGTTTATACCTATATTTACGAAGACGTAATGTTGAATAGTCTCTTTTATCACGTGATCGTACTTCATCAATAGATCGATATACTGAACTCTCATCTGTATAATAGCTTAATATAGGACAGTCAGTATATAAAAGGCTAAAAACTTTGAAGAGACTTAAAATTATTTAAAAGATATAGATCCATTACAATTCATTTCGTATAATTCTTTCTTACAATATTTTTCTTTTTTTTTAGAAAGGAACATTTACTTAAATTTGTTTTATTCAAACAATTTTTTTTTTCCATTCGTTTTTTTTTTCTTTCTTGAGAAGAAATTTACTTAGATTCGTTTTATTGAAGCGCATTATTTGCAGCTACAGCTATTTTCTTAGCTCTTTATGAGCGAATTTACTTAAATTTGTTTTGTTGAAACAAATTGTTTTTTTGTCCTTCTCAAATGAAGGAATATGATCAGACATATTGTTTAAGAATGTTGATTGTAGTTATTCGTTTGCTTTCATTCGAAAGTAAGATAGATTCAAAAAAGCTTGTTAGCGCAGCCTCTTTGCAGCTAAAATATGGAACTCACGTATGTGCTTTACGTGAATTAAACTAACATAAAATGCATAAAGTACAAAAAAAAACCTCCTGTAGACTACAGCTATTTT